GCGTAGTGACGTGGACATTGGTTCAAGTAGTGCACTACAGCGAGTTGATCCTTCTGCTTCAGTGCGGTTGCTAACATATTCAACTCCTTCAGGGCAGTATGAACTTCTGCTGTCCCCAATTGAACCTAGTAGCCCTTCTCCAGCACCAGAAGAGACAGAAACTAATACTTTCTTGAATGAAATGGAAACTGAAGTTTCTCAACCTGCTGTGGACAGTTTAGAGGCTATGGAAGTGCAGCCTGAAGGGAGGAGCAATCATATTTTCCCATTTGGTGACTCAACATATTGGGAATTTCCTTTCTTGCAAGGGTGGTTAATTGGTCAGACCCAAGCTAGCCAACGGAATATGCGGCTGGTAAGTGATGCTACTCAAGATAATCCATCTGCACATGGTGAGATGGATAATCCAGCCATAACTTCCTCAGTAATACCAACCGGTGTGAACCAATCCAGGGTTACTGGAAGATCTAGTACCCGGCATCGTACTTCAAGAACTCATATGGTGTCGACAATTGGATCTAATGAAGGTGCTGGATTCAATAGTATTCCGCATGCTGAAAGTGAGCCTCAACCTGTTGTGAGCAGAATCCAATCTGAACTTGCCAACTCACTCGCTGCAGCAGCAGCTGCAGAGTTGCCTTGCACTGTGAAGCTCAGAATTTGGCCACATGATTTGAAAAATCCTTGTTCTCCCCTTGATGCAGAAAGATGTCGCTTAACCATTCCACATGCTGTACTTTGTAGGTAGTTTTCTTTCTGTTTTAAACGTTCATGGTACTTTATTGCTCTATTTACTTTCACATCGCTTTTAGCTTATTCATAAGTCTTGCAAAACCAGTACATTGATAAAGGATGCAACATCAGTTATACTTTTTTTTTGTCAAAGGCAGTTTGTTTTCACTGGATCTACACCTTTTGCAAAGAAATATTTGATTAGTAGATGATCATGAAATGTTTGGCTATTTGTTCTTTTTTTTCTCTCTTTCAGCATTGCATGGTTGTTTGGACTTTAATAGTATTACTGGCTATATCTTTTTGGATTTTTACTTTCATCATTTGTTTCAGTGAGATGGGTGCCCATTTTTCCCCTTGTGGAAGGTTTTTAGCTGCATGTGTTGCATGTATGTTGCCCCATATGGAAGCTGATCTTGGATTGCAGAGCCAGGTCAACCATGACGTGACAGGGGCATCAACTTCCCCAACTCGACATCCAATTTCAGCTCACCATGTCGTGTATGAGCTCCGGATATATTCCCTTGAGGAAGCAACGTAAATCTTTGACTCCCTATAATATGTGTTATCTTTTCTTACCCCTCTTTTAGCTTTCCATATGCATTTTCCTTCTTTCTACAGCCTGATTTTCTTTTATTTATCTAGATTTGGAATGGTTCTTGCATCCCGGGCAATAAGAGCTGCCCACTGCCTAACATCTATTCAGGTCAGCTACATTTTGAAGATGTATGACTTATTGGCTCATCTTAATCATTAGTTTCTCATTAATTTTCCAACGATTCTGTACTTATTTAACTGTTTCCCCCAAGACTAAAGCAAATCTATAACGGAAACTTAAATGTTTCATTTTAACTGAAAACTAAGGTTAGTAGTCCCATATGGAGTGCATCCCTTGAAATCTCAGCATAAGAGCTCAATGATTCATGCCAATGCTCAGCCTAGCTTTAGTTGAGTTAGAGACTCAGAAGTTATGATAAGATCTCTGTTATGTGCTTAGAATGTAATAAATTGTATTTGCGGATAGAATGTAGTAAGTTGCATTTGCATATATTTTTGAAAAGGCATATGCCACCAGAAAATCTAAAGTTGAAGCATGGTGTTGTTATGTAGTGGTATATAAACACATACATACATAGGTATGTTATGTGTATGGGGAATCTGTTATAGATTGCCTTGTATTGTTGATGTGTGATCGTGTTGTTTCAATATTCAATCCAACAGCTGATGGTATATGACTTAGATTTCCAATGCACTGCCATTATGATTAGAACAAATAAGCAATAAATTGATAATTTTTTTTATATGCAAAAGATTCATGACCTAATCATTTGAAGTTTTTTTTTTTTCCTTTATATTTCTTTTTGATCAAGCAAAGAATTTGTATTTTCATCGTACACTTATTCCATTTTGTTATTCCTTGATTTTTGTGGCAGTTCTCTCCTACGTCAGAGCATATATTACTTGCCTATGGCCGTCGTCACAGTTCACTTCTTAAGAGTGTTGTCATTGATGGAGAGACTACAGTGCCTATTTACACCATTCTGGAGGTAAGGTTTTTTAGTTGTCTTCTGCCCCTCCCTCTTCATTTTAGTTTTAACTTTTAAACATTAAAGTTACTCTTTTTTATTTTTTTCAAGTCTATGTCTCATTTCAGAATGGGTGTTTCAATCAATTTTTAAAGTAACATACAGAAACTTATGTCAAATTTAATCTGCTTCTAATAAATAAATGACAAGGATATGAAATTCTTATGAATTGTGGTCGAGACTAATGTATGCAACCTAAGTTAGATTGCACTAGTCTTAGAGTGGAAAAAGTGTGCAAGTGCCCTATACTACAATGGTGGAAAGGTGTTGAGCCCTTGCATGACGGCGTGGGTTCAAACCCCGCTGGTGGCTAATCTAACAAAATCTATCATTTGACAAAAAAAGAAAAAGAGTGGAAAAAGTGAATTTGGTGCAAACTAAAAGTCATTTACAGCTGAACCCGTGGATGCAATAGATTTTATGTCAACTTTCTTATAAATTTGACGGTAGTTGTGCCTTGTGGTTCTACTCTGAGTTTGCGTGATATAAACTTTATGTGTTACAGTTGTTCTTGGTTGTCCTCTATTATGAGTGTTCATGTAACATTCTTAGTTGTTATTCAGGTCTACAGAGTTTCTGATATGGAACTTGTGAGAGTTCTTCCTAGTGCAGAGGATGAGGTCAACGTAGCTTGCTTTCATCCTTCAGTTGGAGGCGGCCTCGTCTATGGAACCAAGGTAAGCAATTCAGTTTTCGTAAGCTTGTTTTAATTGTTTGGCTCCTCCACCAATTTCCACAACTCACAATGTTTTCATGTTGTGAAATGCAGGAAGGGAAGTTAAGGATCCTCCAATATGATAGTTTTCATGGCACGAATCAGACAACATCCGCTTTTCTTGATGAAAACATGCTTGAGGTACAACATGACCCCAATGGACAGTTTGTCTTTTTATTGTTCTTTATTTTTGTATGCAGTTATGCCTTCATGTTTTGGTTTTTCAGTTGCTGCAAAATCAAAGTGGTCATCCTCCATCTTTACATGTCTACTTACTTTTCTTAGCTGTTCATTCTCCTGATGTTACCAATCTATTTTTCTAGGTTTCGACATATGCCTTGGAATGCTAGGAACTAGCCATCATTTTCCACTTGGGAGACGAACCACTCAGCTTAGCCGGTCTGTTTCTCTTTTTGAAGATCTATTGCATTAAGATTTTGTTAAATTAATTTTACTTCCAGCATCAACGTGTAGGATGGATAACTTTGGAGTATTATGCCTTTAACATTACACTTATTTTCTAGAGGTTCTAGTGATGTGTTGAGGTTTTTCTTGAGTATGGATTCCTCCTTTTTCTTTGTACATAGAAATTATAGGAGTGGCATGGATTGAATATGCTTGGTGGGTTTATAAGCTACGTTCTTAGGAAATAAGGTCTAATATTAGTTTACTTTCGGATGGCTCCAGTTTCTTGGGAGAAGAAACTTACGATGGCCCTATGTTTTCCTTTCAGGATGAAATCACGGTGTATCCGTGAACCTGAAGATCGTGCCTGAATTACACAGAATTTGTATACGTATAACAGTTAACCCTGTACCTGACTGTTGCTTCTCCAGTCGAAATGCCTGTGAAACGCTCCATTAAGAATAAATAAAAAATGCAGCTTTGTAATTTTTCTTTATTGTATGTTTAGAGTATATGTTGTTTAAATTACTAGGGAATGTAATTTAACAAGGGAACTGATGTTATTGTATATGCTTGTTCGGTTCCATCGGACATTGTTAGGAATGTAATTGATTTTCTTTCGTCTGTCTTGAACAAAGGCATTGTGTGTGTTTAGGCCCTTGTATGTTGGCCTTCACTGTAAAAAGAAAGCAAGATTTCGGATCAATTTCGCTTTTTATCCTATGTACAATTCTACATGTACCATCTTCTGTCGATTACTCTTATTCGAGCTTATTCGAGCTTATAAACATGGAAATCCTTGAAACAAGGAATTGATCTTCCCTTGTTTTGATTATGTAAGCTCTGTAGATGTCATACATGTCACGCACGAACGATGCATCTGGTTAGGTTGGAACAGTTGTTCGTTTAGTCCCATACCTCCAACAGTGCAATCTTGACGCAAGAAGCGATTATCGTTGCTGAAAGTAGCGATGCTCCGGCGGTGCTCATCAAGTTTCGTCCACTTCGAGTTTGGTCTGCGGTTTTACAGGAGGCCAAGACAATTACTCAGATTATTTTCAGACCAGTAGTAATTGTACGTCACCAAGACTCCGACATTAGCAGCACTCCTGTCGTTATTTGTTGCTTGAAAGGACAAGACACACCAATTTTGATCAACCTTTTCGACAAAATGTTCCACGCATATGTCGTAGACACCCCAACATTTTTCAAACTCGATTCTCCAGCAATCAGAATCACACCTGTACTCGAGGCGAAGTTGCCTACAATGATAAATCCCTAAATAATTTGGAACTAAGTAATTCAAAATTAATGGTTAAAAGAAGAGTTATAGGGTGACAATGTTTAATAAAATTCTAAAACCTTGTATGTAATTAAATTCGAATTTAGAGAACTAATTTCTTTTAAAAATAAAATAAAATGGAATCAGGTTTTAGCGTCGTATGGAAGAAGAAGACGTCGTAATGAGTTTGTAGAAATTTTGGATACCAACAAGAAAAATGAATCTGTAGACTATCACTGATCTAAAGAACCTTATTCGATAAGATCCCACCGAATCAAAAAGCCAATTCATCCATTAAATCAACTTACAAATCATTTCAAACGCTTAGAACAACTGAAAAACCCTAAATTTGATCAAATGTAGAAAAGGTTTCGAACACCTGAACCCCTGGGTTGATTTGGTAAAGAAAGAAAGTGACCAAGTTCAACGAGAAAATTTGGCGAAATTATTAGACGTACGATCTTCAGCTTTTTCTTAGTAGCACTTGATTCACAAAATTGTCCAAGTTTGTGGACGATGAACCATGTGGAGCAGTGGCTTCTTCTGCCAGTTGCTTCCACTCCATGACCTTATTTTTCATTTGCTTACCTTTCTTTCCCTCCATTAACTCTATAACGAGCTTCTCTACTTCATCTCTCTTCACATCGTTACTAATCTCCATGCCGATACCCCATTTTTTACAAACACAATAACAGTTCGTCTGCTGGTCAGAGAAGCATGGCAAACATAGCATAGGCACGCCTGCGCATAGGCTCTCGATCGTTGAATTCCAACCGCTATGGGTTAAAAATCCTCCGACTGATGAGTGCTCCAGGACTTGCTCTTGTGGGCACCAACTCGCTATTAGACCTCTTTCCTTCGTCTCCGCGACAAACTCAGGTTGAAAAATGGCCGATTCACGAACGACAAGATCAGGTCTAATCACCCAAAAGAAGGGCACCTTGCTATTTGCCAGTCCCCACCCAAACTCAACAAGATGTTCCGGTGTTACGAATGCTAAGCTGCCAAAATTCACATAAACAACTGAGTTTGGTGCCTTGGAATTTAGCCATCGGAGGCACTCAGTTTCCTCTTTCCATAGACTATATCCCATAGCCTTCAAAGGGGGCTCTGGTATCCTATTGAGGAGTAACTGGTGAGGGCCAATGGGGTAAACACGCGGAAACATGGATGAGAGAGAATCCAAAACTTCATGCTCCAATGCATCAAAAGTGTGAATAACAATTGCTGAACCCCTCTTGAATTTTTGAATTGATTCCAAGCAGAAGACCCAGCCTATGTCATTGGGATCTGTAGTAATAAAGTTGTTTGGAAGATCCCTTAACCTGATATCTTTCATTCCTGGAACCCAATCTAAAACCTTGTCCAGAAAGCCATTTGTTAACCAACTCTCCTCTGCAAATACCCAAGTAAAGAAAAATTAGTTTTATTCACTACTGGTTCAAAAAATGAGCTTTTATGTGTCTTAATTAATGTCCCGTTTGATAACTACGTCGTTTTTAGTTTTCATTTATTTGAAAACTAAAATTGAAATGGTTGTTAAACGAGCCATAAGTCTAAAATTTGTTGAGTTGTTCTCTTGGTTTAAATCAAGGGAAACAATATAAAACTGAAACCGTTAATTAAGTGCTTCAACAGTATCTCTTTCACCTTTGAGTGGGGCAAGTCCTTTTTCCTCCAAAGTTGGATATTGATTGAAGCCCATGAAGCTGCTTGCAGAAATAGTGAAGAAGAGTACGACAGGGATTCCAACTTCTTCAGCTGCTGTGACTGTGAAAGCCATCCAACCATCCGAAACAATGTGACTCACTGGAGGAATATTGTTGCAAGTTGCTGAATGGTCAAGTTTCATGAGGATGTCACGAAATGGAGCTGTGAAGTTTTTCCCGATTGACTCAGCAAGCGAAATCAAATCTTGAGTGGTATCTTCATCTGAACTTTGAAGGCCATCTGGCATGGTTTCAAACCGAAAATCAGGCAAGCCGTCGAGGGAGTCGGGACCTAGAGATTTTAGATAGAGTTTGTGATTGAACTCAGTGTTGACAAAGGTGATATGAAAACCTCTATGGTGGAGGAGTTTCGCAAATTTGAGCATTGCCTTTATGTGGCTTTGAGCTGGAAAAGGGATGCAAAGAAGATGAGGCTTTTTGTTGCCTACTTCTTTGGAACCCATTTTAGATTGTTTTTGTGTTATGTGTAATTGCATTCTCACAAGTGCAGTGTTTTATAGAGTTAGACAACATTTTTGCGTGAGTCTATTATAATGACTGGAAGCGCTTTTGATGAAAATACTTTTAAAATTAATCCTTACTAAAAATACAAGTGAATTATTAAAAAGCACTTGAAGTGCTTCCTACAAGAATCACATAATTAGTGTTTCTTCCAAAAAGAACTTCTAAGTGTTTTTGGAACCCAAAAACACTTTCACCAAATTCACTTTCATTCATTTTAAAATCAATAATATAACAAATAAACAACGATTATACTTTTGCAATAACAATAATCTTCATCATCATCTGTGTGTTTCTTCCTAGCTAAAGAATGAAGTGTCACGATATGCTACTCAAAAGTTGGGTAAATTTAGTAGAGCAAAAATTATGGGGCCGGCAATGTAGTTTTTGGAAACTAGGAATCTCCAAAAACAAGATACGAAAAAGAAAAAGACAACCTATATATAAAAAGGGTTTTTATATAGTCCTTAAAATTGATCTATCTCATCATTTAGGTTTCTTAATTTGAAAATTAATCAATATCGTTACTGAAATTGTCTACCGCAAATCAATTTGTTCTTTACCATTTAATTCCGTTAAGTTTTCTGTTTGTTTGCTGATGTACCACACTTGTGGCCAATGCAACCAATGATTTAGTGTCATGTAAGGTCATCTCCAACCGATCCGGTCAGAGGACCAGAAGGCTAAAAATAACCTGAAACGACACAAAAATCGTCTTTAACTGAGAACTAAACCAAATGATTCGTGTGCTCCATCAGGCCGAAAAAAAAAAAAAGGAATCAGGCCAACCGGCTGGCTCATCTAGCCCCGGGCCGGCCTCTCTTCCTCTTGCACCCCCTCATTTGCTTGCTTGTCTGACCATCTCGCGGTACCAAAAATGGAGAAAGCGATCAACAGGCAGCGTGTTCTGCTCGACCACCTCCGCCCTCCCTCCGCCTACTCTTCTTCTTCTCTCTTCGTAAGCCTCTCTCCTTCTCCTCTTAATCCAACACCTATGACTACGAATAGCCTATCGCACAAAAAATCTCAGAAGCTCTTTACTTTTCTCAGCGGTTCGATCTTTAATTTTCTCTGCGGTTCTTTGCTTGTTTGATTGGTTGAATCCCTGCGGTTGCAATGGCGGAAAGGGAGAGGGGCCAGCGATCGGGATCGATCTCAGAACGACTTATTCGTGCGTCCGTATTTGGCAACACGATCGTGTCGAGATCATCGCCAAAGATCAGGGCAACTGGACGACGCCGTCTTATGTGGCGTTTACTGACACGGAGAGGCTGATCGGCGATGCGGCCAAGAACCAGGTCGCCATGAATCCCGTCAACACCGTCTTCGGTAAGAACCGAAGAAATGCTTTCCTTTTTGTTGCCAGATTTTTATGTTATGGTGTAATTTTGCCTTGCATGTTAGAATTTTTCTATTGCGTGAATTCTTAGAGAAAGAGTTCAATTTCCTTGAAAGTATGACTTTCTGTTCCGACCGTATGACTTGTCTAAGGACTTTTGTTGCAGATTGAACCTATAACAAAAAGAATAACATTTTATTAAAAGAAAACAGTGTAACCATAATACTGAAGCAATTTGAGAGTACAAATTTCCCGTTATTGCTTATTACTAATGAGGTCAGAAGTTTCAACCTAAGCAGGATTAGGTGTAATTCAATCACATATTCGCAACCAACATATGTTGATGAAAATAATCAATGAAGGTTAATATTTCCATTGTCCTGCTCCTTCAAAAGCTGATGAATATTATGAATTTTGTTACATGGTTATGTTTGACCTATGATCCTCTGATTTCTTGGTTGGAGATGATAAAAAATATAGTCTGATATTATTTATTAAAGTATTAATTTCTTGAAGAGTTATAGGACTAAAATGAGTATTATGGTCCTTATTTGGTTGGAGATGGCCTAAATGATACCAATCTTATTATTTAGCCAAATAAAATAATTTACAAAAAAAAAAAAAAAAAAAAAAAAACCAGTCCAAGCTGCGTCTCTCGCTCATCGTTCCGGCGACATAGTTGCAGAGCCCTTCCGAGAACTCAGTTTGAGAGTGTGTGCGCTGTTGTCAGAGAGCGGAGAAAGCAAGAAAGATGGGTACAAGAGGAGCAACGTAGCTGTTGCAGAAAGAAACGAAATTGCAAGCGGCGTTGTAAGTAGATCGACGGATAGAGGACGTGTCGCATCACCGCACGGGCTACGCTGCTGCATGGTCGAGGGAAGGATGTGCAGAGGGAGATTGAGTGGACGGTCGACCCAACAGATCAACGGACGGCGTCGGAGAAAAGGGTCGTGGTTAGTGGTTGGGATTTGGAAGAATGAGTGGTTGTTGGCTATACAATATGAGTTTTGTTTTCCATCTGAACTTCTAAAGTATTTTTGTATAAATCGTGAGTTGTTTTTTTTTATTTACTAACTTCGTCAATATAAGACTAAAAAAATATTAATGCTTTTGAGTCTTTAAGGAAATGTATAAGTAATTAATGAACACTAAATTAAACATTTTGATGACATGTAATATATTATTTGCAAATTTGGTCTAAAAATTTAGTCTGCACATTATTTTTTGCTGAAGATTAGACTTGAATTGGAACAGATATTTAAAAATAGCAACACACATAGCTACTAGCTAGTAAATAAATTAACAACCAAACAAAAATTTGTAAAAATTGAAAAAAATAAACATGCACATACCATTTCGAACTTAGGACCTCTCGTTAATTTTAAACAACAATAACCATTGCTTCTAATTAAACTTCATGATCATTTAGCCAAATTTTATAAATTTATACTGTTATGAAAAGAAATTTGTAAAAATTAGAATATAAATAAGCACGCATGGTGTTTTGAACCTAAGACATTTTCATCATTCATTTTAAATAACAAAACCACCAGCTCTAATTAAATTTCTTTGTCACTAAATCAAATTTTATAAATTTATACTCTTATAAAAAATATATAAATATATCACCTTAATAATTTTGGTACCCCTAATTTTTTTGGACACTGGACAATCACCGGGTCCGCACTGGGCTAGTCCGGGCCTGGTTGTGGCTAACAGGTTGGCTTAGAGTTGGATGAGAACTTGGGTTGACGATGACGCTGCCTGCTTCTTCCTTCTGTTTTTTTCTTTCTTTTTCTTTTTCAGTTTTAGATATTCAAAATTTTTACGGGTTTTTAAATTCAATTTTTATGGTTTTATATGATTTTTCCACATGGCACTACTTAATTGGACATGTGGGCTTTACTTGTACGCTCTGTCTGCAAATCAACAGAAAACTTGACGGAGGACCAAATTGTTTTGCTGTAATTAATTTCAGGAACGACATTAATTGATTTTCAAATTAAGGGACCAACATGATGAGTTAGACTAATTGCAGGAACCATTTGTGATAAAAATCCGATATATAATGACCTGTTATTATTATTGTTTAAGCAATCTCTGATTCCCTGCCCTTGGATTTACGCCTAACTATATGTGATGCAAGAACTCTAAGCAAGGTCACTCATCCGTTGGACTACCCATCTATTTTTTGATGCAAAACGATAGCGATTTATTAATAATCAAATAATAAATTTTTGATAAGAACGTCACAAGATGTGATGTAGAGGTTTTTCAAATAAAAAGAAAAAACGTGATCGGTGCAAAATCATGTTGCATTGTATGATCTGTGAGCCAACTTATAATAAAAGTTTGAAATTCATTGTTCACAATAATCCAAATATTCTGGCATACATTATTTATAAGCTTAAATTCGTATTTTAGATTTAAATGCATATGGTTGTATGGTCTCGTTTGACAACTCGAACTGTACTGTCTATTTCTGTCGGATAGAATAAATAGTCATCAGATGGTACTGACTAAATTAATCGGGCGTTTGGTGCAATATTAGACTAATGATTGTATTATTCATACGGTATCGAATAAGAGTTCAATGTAATTATCTAAAAACCCAAATACTTTTCAAATCCTAAACTTCAAAATAAAAAGCAAATTAAAAAGCCCCAAATTAAGCAAAATCTATTTTCTTTTTTTTTTTTAAAAAAAAATTGCACAGATGAAATTTTTCCTAATTTCCAAGTTCTATCATCATTCTCAACCAAGATTCCAGAATAAATCCATATCACCTTAAACTCTACTAAGGGTATGGCACTAACTTGACCAATAATCTCAGCTAAAATATTGTTACTGCATAGTTTTTCCAACACCAAATCTAAGTTATTCCAGCTTACCTCAATAACCAGACCAAGTTCTTCAGCAAAAAGCGTTTGGAATAGGCTCTTCCCATGTGAAGTCAAGTCCAAATTAATGCCACAATTCCCAGAAAATGCCATTTCAAGGGCATAGACCAGTAGCCCACCTTCACTAATATCATGACCAGCAGAGATCAATTCGTCAGAAAGAAGGTCCAACAAAATTATCCAATTCAAATTTGATGGGGAGAACCCAATTCGAATTCAACTGTTGTGAATGAGAATGAAACTCTCTTTGTACAATGCTTAGTGCGACAAGGAGAGCAGCGACGAGGAGAGTAGTGACGGCAAGAAAAGGCGATGGGCAGATCGATGACGGCGAGAAGAGGCGACATAAAGAACAACAACGGCTATAAGAGACGACAGGGAGAATGACGACGGTAAGAGGGATGACGGTGAGAACGACGACGGCGAAAGGGACGACGGCGTGAGGAGGTGTCGTGGAGACGAAGTGCGAGAGAAAGGAAAGGAAACCAGACTAATAATCCACTCCTTTTGGAAGGGTTTATTAAGAAAACAAGCAAACTGATTAGAGCATCTCCAAATGAGATATCAAATTTTAAACATCAAAATGATAGTTGATAGCTTATGTGGCAATTTGACATTTTGTATAATATTTTGCTCCACCTGATATGTTAAATAATAATTTCAATTAATAAACTTTTTATCTTTTTGTGGAGTCCAATGATTAAGGCAACCAATCAAATATTTCAAAAACATAACAACATTTATTATATATTATATTAATCTATTAAAATATCAATTAATAAATTTGACA